TCAAGTTGCAGCAACCTATTTTGATGGATGTGTGTTGCTTGGGTAGTAGGCTGTGTATAAAAGAAAATGATTTACTTAGTTTGACAGTTGCACCATGACGAGGTGGCAGCGTATTCGTGATTTGTCCTACGCGAAAATGTCGCAAAAAGACATTTCAATCCGTGGGAGTGTCCCGATGGATCATCAAAAGGCTTTTAGACCGAGAAAAGAAAGGACAACTAACTGCGAAGGTGGCCACAGGTCGTCCGAGGTCAGCTCTGGTTCCGAGGGTTATCGCTGCTATCAAAAGGAAGATTCGGGTGAATCCAGTGCGTTCAATAAGGAAAATGGCAAAGGAACACAGGATCAGTGACTTTACGACACGGAAGATCGTAAATGAAAATTGCAGGGCGAAGTCGAGGGCTCGGAAAAAAACTCACATGATTACCAACCGCATCCGGGAGCTACGAGTCGAACGATGCAAGAAAATCTTGAACTTCCTTAAGCAAAAAATCCGGTAATCCTGTTCACTGACGAGAGCAAGTTTACCGTCGATCCCGTATCAAATTCCGGAACCAAATGGTATATTAGTTCTCTTCCGGTAAAAAAAAAGTGGCCGACGAGCACAAGACCGTGTATCTGACCAAGCATCCTGCTAGCGTTATGGTGTTTGGATTGGTGGCTACTGATGGCAAAAAAAATGGACCCGGTGTTCATTCCAGAAGGCGACAAGGTCAACACGGTAGTCTACATCGGGATTTCAAGTAAGTATGTTCTTCCGTGGATCAAAGAACAGTTCAGTCCGAAGCCAAATGTTGTATTTCAACAAGATGGGGCTCCGTGCCACACCTCGAACCGCACTCAAAAGTGGTTGCAGAAAAATCTTCCGTTGCGTCATGAAGGCTAAGGCCTGTTCTAAACGTCACTCGAGTACAGCAAGCCTCAGACAAACATTGACCCGTACCTGGAGAGAAATGGATCCAGATTACATTATTAGAACCTGCCATGCATTCCCGAAGCGTGTGGAAACTCGATCGATGATTAACATAGTTTAAGACTCTGAGAAACATCCCCCCCTTTGAAAAAAAAAAAAAATCGAAAACGAAATTTTTGAGAAATTTGCTCAATAGTGCAAACATTATCACGCATACGCTAAATCACGTAGAAAAATGTTGGATTTAAAAATGAAGCCAAAAATGTTAAGCACCAAAAAGTTTTTACTGATGTCTGAGACAAATTTGTAGAGAAAATTAAGGTTTTTCTTGGCAAAATGTACAAATCAATGTTTTTTTTCAGTAAGAAAAATCCTTAACCTAAGTATCTTAAAATGTAGTTATCCGAATTTTTATTTTAAGAATAAGAAAACAATGTCAATCATCGCCCATAAGAAACAATAGCCCAAAGATTCATACAAATCGGAAACGGTCGAGTTTTTCTGAAATTTGAAAAATCAGATCAGAAATCAAAAATGCCGTTTCCGTGAAACAATTTTTGAAATATTTCAAGGATACCGTTTATAAAATTTATCATAATCCAAAGTGGTAGAATTTGAACAAAAATAGAAATCATTACCCACAATAATCAATTACGCAAGCTTCAAACAAATCGGAGAACTTTTTTTTTATAGTCACTCTTGGGTCATGTTGTCCGGGGTGACATTTGAACTCGTGACTTTGGCGTGAGAGGTATGGATGCTTACCACTACGCTGGGGTCGCCCCCTAAAATCGGAGGACTTCTCATTAATATTAAGGTTTGCACATAGCAATTTTTTTTAATGTTACATACAAGAGGATGCACTTCAATCATGTCAAAAATCTCATGTAATTTTTAAGGATACAACTATAAACAAATGCAGCAAAAGTAGCGAAACGTCAGTTCATGCACTGTATTAATAATAATTTTGTCCTTTTTGGCAAGTAATATTACACCATATTTTCGACACGATTGAAGTGCATCCACTCTGATGTAATATTAAAATTATTTTTTTGAAGAAAATTTACCCTTACCTACGTGGTATCATAATCTTAAAAACTATTGAATCAGTTCAAGTACATAATTAAATATCGTAAAAACACACTTTTTTTGCAAACATCGTCAAACAAACCATCGTACCACACATTGGTTGATTGATAGGTACACAGATAAAAATCCTGAATTTTAATAGTGATGTGAACATTCATTCTCGTAAACTTGTATTTCATTTCACGCAACCGAGCAACTTGTAAACAATGTTGTTTACAACAATGGGCTTTTGTATGCAATATTTGCTACATTGCCTGAAATGTATCAGCACTTTACATTATATATAATGTTAATTTATATGATATGTGACGCTCCATTTATGTGCATCATATTGAACAGAAATTTACACTACTTTTTCAAACTGTGTAGAAATATGCCAATTGTTACGCACCTCTACCTAAAATACACGGGCAAGACAGTAAATCTAAGTAGATATGCAGTGGAGCAATTTTTCAAGTCCTTTAAATTTGTCTACCTCTTAACAGAATCCCTTTATGAAGAGTTTTGTGTGGGTTGGTTTATTTCCTTTGAATTCCGTTATAATTGTTTATTTTTTGACAGATACGCGTATTTCGTCTACTACTTGCAGACTTCATCAGTTCCAAGTACTCAACACCACAGTGGTACTTGGCACTGATAGTCTGCAAGTAGTACACAGTTCGAAAAAGTAGTGTAAATTTCTGTTCAGTATGATGCACATAAATGGAGCGTCACATATCATATAAGTTTACATTATATATCATGTAAAGTTCTGAGACATTTCATGCAATGTATCAAATATTGTATAGAAAAGCCCATTGTTGTAAACAATATTGTTTACAAGTTGCTCGGTTGTGTGAAATGAAATACAAGTTTACGTGAATGAATGTTTACATCACTATTAAAATTCAGAATTTTTATCTGTGTAGATGAAATACGCGTATCTGTCAAAAGATAAGCAATTATAATGGAATTTTTCAAGATTTATGGATCAAAAAAAAAAAAAAAATAGTATCCTAAACATGAATAATATACGTCTAATTTATGGATCATGCCTATATTTTTAAAGTGCGCAAACTTGATTTTTTATGGATCACTTTCTTTAGTTTAAGGTTCATTGCAGAATGTTTTATGGATCAATAGCAATATGTTTATGGGTAATTCGTATAATTTCAATGCTCATTCTTTAGAAATTTAGCGGTACATTTTTACAGTTGTCTTGCTAAATTTCTTATAAAATATTGATAATATTGATATTTTTAATGGATTCTCCACAATTTTTTATGGATTTTCTCCGATGTTTTATGGATCATTTTGGTGTTTTTAATGGAACGTTTTTCATTTTTTTTATGGATCGTTTTATCAATTCTAATGGTGCATACTTAGGGCTGCCTCATGGTACCTTTAATTTGGCGGTTTTTGCGTCCAATTTGGTGAAGGGTTGAGACACACGACTTACTATGTACTATGCACATGCAGACATGTTCAGATCTCGTCGAGCTGAGTCAATTGGTAAGTTGTGTAAGACCTGTTAGCACAAAACTAACGGTTTCTAGTTTTCTATTATCTAGATGAACGCGTCATTGGGACGCTTTTGAAAATTTAGTAGATTGCTGAATTTATGTATGGGCCCAAATTAGAGGCGTTATAATAATATTCTGTTAGTTGATTTTAACTGAAATGGTGAATAATATTTAAAAGTAGTGGTGTTGAGTACTTGGCACTAATGAAGTCTGCAAGAAGTAGACGAAACGCGCGTATCTGTCAAAAGGTAAGCAATTATAACGGAATTAAAAGGAAATAAACCAAGACACTCAAAGCTCTTCATATTTAAAAGTATTTTAACGACGTCTCCATTATCTATAATTTATATCATAAATTTAAATCACCCATAATCATTATAAATTCAAATTATTTGCTATGTCTTGATGTTCAATTTACTCCAAAAATTTAAACCCGGTTTTTAATGCATCAATTGATATAGCAAAATGCTCATATCATTAAATTCCTTTTGTTATTTTACACAAAATGACGCAAACTTTGTGCAATATATAATGATTCGACGAAAAATACTTGATTGAATTATTTTTTAATGTCTCAAAGTAAATTTCTCCTTAAACTTTCACGGAACATCTCGAATCGAAGATCTAAATATTTTTGTTTTACATTCAGTTTCACCTTTTATATTCATCACATTTTGATTGTGACTATTATTGCAAATCACGCTCAGAAGAGTGCACTAGTTTCAGTTAGGAAAATATTCATAGGATTGGTTCAATTACTTCCGTTTAATTTCAAAACACATTTATTTAAATTGTAATGTTTAGCTCTTTGATGAGATTGATAATTTTTTGCCTGAAGCTATATTCGACTAAGTATATTCTTTTAATATCTTTGTAATATCTCTGTAATATCTTCTTTGTTAATTTTTCAAAGCAAAGCTAAATAAATTGGATAGTATTATTATGCATTGAAAATCAGAACTTCATAAAATTCACATCTCTTGTTTAAAGAAATAATAAAATACGTGCACGGTTGAACAGAAGCACTCTAAATGAGTCGGAATTTCGTCAAAAGTGAGTAGAATTTTCCGGGCAAAAGCAGTGGAAAATCATGAAAAACATCTCAAATATGAGGAAAATCCATAAAAATTTCACTCAGTCTAGGATTATAGTAATAGACTGAGTAAAACCTCTATGGATTTTCCTCATATTCGAGAAGCTTTTCCTGGAAAATCCCGAAAAATTCAACTAAAATTTTGAGTAAATCCACTTTTAACGCATTTGGGTCGGCTTGTTTCAAAACGAACGACCGTCATGTTTATTCGAGCTTTCGTGACGTACATAAACACAACTTGCGACATCGGCATTGATTGACAACAATAAAGAGTGAAGTACACAATCTTCACCTTGATCAATCTGACGCTTTTCTCTGAATTATTCTTAAACTAATGAAATGCGTATTATATCCATATGACTTCATCTTGTAATATTAGAGTTGCATTGCACTTTATATTCACCTTTCAAAATGATTCAGCCTAAGAAGCCTGCCGTTTCGGTGAATGTGTTGAACTAATTTTGATCAGGATACTAATGCTCACTTAACTGACACAATTTTCCTGTTCTTCGATCACGTTTCACGCAAATAAGATAATTCGTTCCGTTATTTTACATTCTTTCAGCTTGTTTTCTTTCCATCACGATAACGGCCACGTTCGGTTACCGCACCAAATTGGAAGGTAGGTCACAATTACGGCAGCAGAAAATTATTTTCACCTTTTGTTCTCCACCTTTGATTTTCGCACCCGCGTCGGCCCGGTTATTCCCTTGGCCAGGTTAGACCGGCGGAGTATTTTCGTTTGTTGTTCCACCAAATCGACAGACTGAACTTTTATGGGTTGACGGTTGGGATTCAACTTGTTTGTATGAGTACATAAGCTCTACACTGCACTGCACTCTTCTGCAGAACGCCTTGAACTGCCTTCAACGTCACGAATGGCCACCGCAAACCACCGCCGTCAGCTGAACAGGTGGAAGCTCAAAGAACCAGGTCATCATGTTCACATTCAGCCTTCATACGATTCACGTACACGTACGTACACAAAGACACGCAAATCCACCGTGCCAATCCACTGATGTTGAGGCCTCCTTAATTCACGACTGTTAATTCATTTTTATTTATTTTTGTTTGCAGACCATCCCGGGGGAAAGATACCTGCACTTAGCGATAAATGGGTTCCACGACCTTGCTTCTGTATCGCCGTGTTCAAATGATGAAACGAATGGATGCGCACACCCGATATGACACGAAGGAAAAACTCCACTAATCCTAATCCACATTAAACCAAACACGAAGCGCCACCTCAAACCTCACCGCGCCCACCTTCATGTGGGCCACAAAATTTCGGATATGAGAATTAGCCGCAGTGGCCACTTCCGTATCGCCGATTGACGCTTGGGATATGGTATTTTTTTTATCAATCAAAGCGATTCTTCACATTAAACACGCGCCCGACTAGCGAACAAGTATTATATCCGCTCTAACGAACGTTAAACACATAACTGAAGAGTCCTGGTACGAAAGGAAAAAGGCTATCCAAACATACCGTGGGTCGACATTCGTATTAGGATGTCGACATTCACGAATCACGATCTACCTTCTTCGGCTAGTTGCTGTCAAACTTCGGCAACGGTGAGCATTGATTTTTCACCTTTTCGGGCCCGACTCGGCCATTGGAAAACTCGACGAAGAGCCCCGGTGGAAGTTTTCCCAGAGAATTTGAGAGAATTTTCCACCTCCTGAGGCGCAGAAGTCGCAGTGTGTCACATGGGAGAGAGCAAAACAATCTTTGCTTTGTGGGCGAAACATTGCAAGGCTGCGAGTTATATGAAATAGGGGAAACTAAGGGGAAAATTCTATCCTGGAAAATCGACGAAAAGAGAATGGCACTCAGGGGAGATGGCAGAACTGATGATAGACATTTGTTGCATTAGTAAAGCGTCATCTAATCAGAATCATCCACCACTGCGTTGTGCAGACGAAGTTGATGCTGAACACTGGTGGTGAATGTGAATCATAATGAATAATTTACAATGTGTGCATGAATTAGGACACACTAATGATGTGTAAAAGCTCTTACCACAATAACACTACAATACAAAACAGAACCAGTCTTATCCTCGATCTGGTTATTGCGTTTTTGGGTTAATTAAAATAAATAAACTGGAGTGTAAAAATCCTTTCCATTTCAAAGGATCTGAAACTAGGATGTAGGGGAAATGGCTCTAATGTTGGCCTATGGGTCCATCGCTAAAAATCTGCTATTTATCAATTGTATCTAGATGAACGCGTCATTGGGACGGTACTAATGGATATTTTTGGTCGCTATTGAAAATTTAGTCCATTGCTGAATTTATGTATGGGCCCAAATTAGGGACACTTAGGCCGACATTACCTGCATTTCCCCTATGTGCCCTTATTTTAGTAACATGACCATCTTCTTATTTTCATTAATTAATGTTTTCGAGCTAGCCGGCGCAGGTTGTGTAGTGGTAAGCGTGACTGCTTTCTCACCCTAATGGGTCTGGGTTCAATCTCAGTCGAGGTCGGTGGGATTATTCCGAGGCATAAAAAATCTTTGGTCACGTCACGTCTTCCTTCGGTAGGGAAGTAAAGCCGTTGGTCCAGGCCCATGTTGTGTTGAATGGGTACAAAATCCTACGCAGGTCTGGAAGCTACCTTCCTGCACATTCAAATTACCTTCAATGAATTGCAATTGATGTCCGTCGGTGATTGGCACTAGATTGCGTTCCGCGTTGTGTTCCAGAGACCGACGTTTAATAAAGGAAAGAATACGAATGTTTTCGATGGAATAGTTGGAAAAGTTATTGAGATTTGTGATTTTCAAAACATAGAATTTACAGATATGCCATAATTATTTGGTACCGGTGCTCAACTAATTTACCCTAGACTTAATCAGAACCATTTTTGCATAAATTGGAGCATGAAAAAATATGTTCTATCCCTCAAAAAAAAAAATGTCAAATTTAATACTAAAGGGTATGTGTACAAAGCAAAACCCCGACTTTCGTTCCGAGGCCTGGCTCAACAAGAATAAAATTGGAAAATGGATGTGTGTGTGTGTGTGTGTTTTTTTTATAATAAGGTTTAGGAAAGCATCGAAAGCCTGCTCCTGTAGTGTAGTATTACAATGCCGTTACTCAGTTTATACCCATTTGTTACTCCGAGGGCACGGTGTTGTATCCACTTGTCACCTAGTGCCTCCCCAGTGAAACCCGTTCTTTACTCTCTTCCCTAGCCTGGATCCCCTCATGCACCTTCCATAATTTCAGCGCTAGCTGTTTTTTTTTCTCTGTTCGCGACATAAAACCAATATGACCACTAATTTGATCTATTGTAGTTTATCCCCGTGTCCTTAGTTTAGTGCATGTTGTATTACTCCATCACTATTGATAAATGAAGAAGTATTTGGTTTTGATACAATTGTCATTCTTACCTTCATCGCAAGGATCCGACTCTAATTGAAAAGTCCTGCAATTCATACCCTTCGGAGTGTTGAAACACCCTCCAAAGGCGCGCCCCTTTGTCAGTCAAAATTGGATTCCTTAGCAACAAAATTCAGCAATGACACCAATAATAACCATGCATCACTTCAAACTAGAGAACAACAAATAGAAGATTAGGAATCACATAGATGAAGACTAACTAACTCATTTTTTCCGGACAAAGCCTAGTCTTGTCAACAAGGCATAACAACCCTAATAAAAATAACCATAAAAGAGACTTTGACTATATGTTTTTAGTATTACTTCTACGTGAAGTCAACGATTTACATAGTTGAAGATGCTAATTTCAAATAACAGACTGTAGTGGTAATTTTTATACGATAGATGGAGTAGATGAAAGCATAGAGTTGATAGTTCCATTAGAGTACGGCAGTGTGAAGATTGCATATAGATATTAGAAAAGCGAGCTAGGACAACTTTTAAGGAAGGTACAAATCTCTCTTTACCAAACTCCCCCTTTGGAGAGGGATGGTGAGGGGTGTCCCCCCCCCCCCCCCCGCCACCACTGGCAAAAAGAGATGAAAACCGACCCGCTCAAGTACCAACTGTGTGTTTGAAACAGTTCTACCGATTTTTTAACGCACTTCAGTTGTTATTTGAAGGAAGGCATCCAGTCGTACGTTTGGAAATTGCAACTATTGTTTACCCCTACCACGATATGTGCTCCTGTCATCGTCGACTTGACGATCTCGAGGGGACACGGGTGGGGTAGGTGCTGCCGTACTCTAACGGAACTATCAACTCTATGCTTTCATCTACTCCATCTATCGTATAAAAATTACCACTACAGTCTGTTATTTGAAATTAGCATCTTCAACTACATAAAAGAGAGCTTAACGACGTGTTCGGGGAATCATCGAAACCATTTGTGGGATAGTTTACCCATCCGGGATACAGTTCGCTTATGGTACTTGTTTATTAGGGAAGTAGCAAGAAGTAAGATGTGTTCCTTTGATTACTGAAGAATCCTGTTCCCCTAGTTTGAAGTAGTTAGGACTAGGAATAGGTGGTAGATCTTACATCTTGTAACGTACCACGAAAAGGTTATCTACCCACGTTACTGGGCTGGTGTTGCAAGCTCGCTGGTCGTTTCTCCACTTACGTTGCAGCTCTAACAGTATTTGAGTGACTGCCCTGCTGAAGGAATTTCAGGTGCCCTCCTACGTTGCTACATTTCATTGACGACATTATCTGTGCTAAGGACAGCTATTAACCGATGAGTTCATCTACCGTTCACCAGCAAGTCCCATTCATTATCGTACTTATAGCATTCGCTGTCCTCCGCCAGGGTGATGCTGATAGGGATCATTCCGGCAATAATGCATACTGCCTCCGGTACGTGCTGTTCAGATTCCTTAAATTTTGATTAGTTTCTAGCGCAGCAACCTAGGCTGGACCTCCATACCTCAATATCGACGTAGATAAACTAGCCAGGAGACGTTTCTTGCTACTGCTTGGTCCAGAGTTGTTCGGCATGATTCTGGCTACCACGTTGACGACCTTCGCAACCTTCTCGCAGTCGTATTTGACGTGACTATTGAAGTTTGATCATCACTCCCAGATATTTCAGTACTCGCTTTGAGGTTATGGCGTGCTCTCCGACTGTGATTTCGGTCCGTCGCACTGTCATGATTCGGTGAGTATGGGTTTCGAGAGTGAGGGTAACCTAAAACGTGCCAAACCCTTCATACGACACCTTTTTTTTTACCTTTGGTTTGTTTTTCCGTCGATCTTGTTTTCCGTGCTGAGCACCAATGCTACCGACGCCAGGGAGGCAGCTCCCACACCTGGACCCTACCTATCGACTCATCAAAACATGAACCGGGGACCAACGGCTTTACTTACTACGTGATCAGAGATGTTATGCCTCAGAACATCCCGGCGGCGCCGACTGGGATTGAACCCAGGCCTGCTGGGGTGAGAGGTAATCACGCTTACCACTATACCACCGGTGCCGCTATACGACACCTTAAATCACATTAGAATTCAACAAAACGTTTATTTGTGGTCATACCGAGTGCCCAAAACAACATTGGCCACATTCGGCCATGTTCCAGGTACCCTCGATGAAGTAATCAGTTTATGGATAGGACCAAAATCCATCGTCGCATCAAATTGTGTGTGTGTGTGTGTTTTTTTGTTTTTTTTTTTTTTTTTTTTTTTTTTGGCAAGGAGGAAACCTTCAAAAAGGCCATCGTGCCACCGCTTGACGACTGGGCGCACAGTCGCGGTGACACGGTGTGTGGGATTCTTACCGCACTAAAACCTCCTTAGACGCCTTGCCCTTTTCCCCCGGAACCACTTGTCGTATTACTTCGGAGGGGGCCGTGCATTACGCACCTCACTTTACCTCAGCTAATTGGCGCTTCCAGTTCGCTGATCGTCTCTCCAATTTGTGAGCCATTTATCTCCCAGCGTCACGTTCTACTCGGTTATCCCTGGTGGTGGATACAGCCTACTCTGACGGAGAGTTCTCCCGGCTTCGGCTTTCAGTTCGCACTTGTGTGAGCACATTACTACTTTCTAGTTGGTCTTCCCGCCATTTTCGCTGCAGCGCTGACATGATCTGCGTTACTGCTCTGCTGACGGCGTTAAAGGTGCCCTCCTCTCGACACATTTCTTCGACGATATTCTCCGTGCTAAGGGCGAGCATATCCTCTCGCACATCATCAAATCTAGGACATTCGAAGACCACGTGCTCTGGTGATTCTTCCACATTCCCACACTCCGGACAGAAGGGTGACGTTGTGTGTCCGAACCGATGCAGGTACTTCCTGAAGCAGCCATGACCAGACAGGAACTGCGTCAAGTGGAATTTGACTTCTCCATGCTTCCTGTTCACCCAGGTCGAAAGAGTCGGTATTAACCTGTGTGTCCATCTACCGTTCTCTGCTACATCCCACTCCTGCTGCCACTTTGCCATCGACTCCGTTCTCA